AGGGATAGGGAAGGTAGACCTCTGAGCCAGTCAAGAACCACTCCACACTCAGACAGGGATAGGGAAGGTCAGAACTCTAACCCAGACAGGGACCACTCCACACTCAGACAGGGATAGGGAAGGTCAGAACTCTAACCCAGACAGGGACCACTCCACACTCAGACAGGGATAGGGAAGGTCAGAACTCTAACCCAGACAGGGACCACTCCACACTCAGACAGGGATAGGGAAGGTCAGAACTCTGACCCAGTCAAGAACCACTCCACACTCAGACAGGGATAGGGAAAGTCAGAACTCTAACCCAGACAGGGACCACTCCACACTCAGACAGGGATAGGGAAGGTCAGAACTCTAACCCAGACAGGGACCACTCCACACTCAGACAGGGATAGGGAAGGTCAGAACTCTGACCCAGTCAAGAACCACTCCACACTCAGACAGGGATAGGAAAGGTCAGAACTCTAACCCAGACAGGGACCACTCCACACTCAGACAGGGATAGGAAAGGTCAGAATTTGGAGTCACTCAAGGACCACTTCACGCTGAGAGACAGGAACAGAGAAGGTACCACACCTAGACACCCCTAGGCTCTATTCCTAAGCAACAAAGGTTAATGCCTGGACTGGTTATTCTGGCACTGGCCTGAGGGGCTACCCTGCCTTGCAAATTTAACTGCAACCTACACAAATTAGTCACTTGGACCCATTATGATACCAAGTCACAGTAAAACCAAAATAAAAGGACTATTCTTCCCCTTATTCTTGCTTAGTGTCACCAACAAAACAAATGTGGGCTGGTGTGCTTTATATTCCCTGATTTCCTGTTACCCTGGTCATGTCTAGGGCTGCACAGTGGCTAAGTGGTTAGCACTCCTGCCTGGCAGTACTAGGGTCATTGGTTTGAATCGCAACCACAGCACCACCTGCCTGGAGTTTGCATATTTTCCCTGTGCCTGCATGGGTTTCCTCCCACACTCCAAAGACATGCTGGAAGGAAAAAGACATGCTGGTAGGTTACAAAAAACGCTGTGTACAAAGGGCGAGGGGCATCATTAATGATGCCTCTCACCGTAACCATGGACTGTTCATATTCCTTCCATCGGGCAAACGATACAGGTGTCTCAGAGCCGTACAAATAGACTGAAAAATAGTTTTTTCCCTGTGGCTGTTAAAGCATTGAACAGCTAATCATTAGACAATATTGCATTACTGTATATTTTATTCACCATTGTATTACTGAATATTTCATCCATTAATGCACTACTCATTGCACCAATTATGGTATTACTGTATATTCCATACCCCGATTTTTGTTATATTGTTATTTATTGTAAATGGACTGTTTATGCACTTCTGGTTGGATGCTAACTGCATTTCATTGGCTCTGTACATGTACTTTGCACAATGACAATAAAGTTTAACTTAATCTAATCAGCTTCTGCCTAAATGAATGTGAGTTAGGGACCTTAGATTGTACACCCCTTGAGGGATAGGGACTGATGTGAATGCACAATATATATGTAAAGTGCTGCGTAAATTGACGGCGCTACATAAGTACCTGTAATAAATAAATGATGTCTTTAGTGGGCTAATTTTGTTTGTGCAAAAAAAAAATGGAGTTCAATTATACCCAACTGGACAAGCTACAATACCAGTTTTTTTTGGGTAGGGGAATTTTGAGATCTCTGGACTCGAAGAAACTCTTGTGTCTCCAGCAACATGTGAGTTTATAATATAGGAAATGAAGTGCCACGTCAGTTAATTGTATTTTTCTTTAGAAAAAGTACTTGCGATCTACTCTGTTAATGTTCAGAAGCTGATCACCGGTGGTGAATGCTGGGGTGCAGCCCAGTGGTCATGTTAAAATACTTGTCTTTATGATGTGTGTTCTTACACAGAGGAATGCTTGGTGACAAACAGTTGAGGAATCTCTTCTATGTACAGCCTGGAATGTGTGTTCAGTCCTCGCACCTACCCACCGCCCATCACATACCTCTACATTATGATTTATAGAATAAAAGATGAAGAAATGCCTTTCACCTTGATTATAAGAACTTAGGAAACCCTCTATCAGATTTGTTAGGGGAACCAACATTACCTCTATTCTAACACAGTTTCTGACTGTTATCCTAGACCACAGATGTCAAATTGGCGGCCCTCCAGTTGTTGCCAAACTACAAGTCCCATGAGGCATTGCAAGATTGACAGTTACAAGCATGACTTCTAAAGGTAGAGGCATGATGGGACTTGTGGTTTCGCAACAGCTGGAGGGCTGCCAGTTTGACTGTCCTAGAAAAACAAGTTACTTCCTAAAAAATACAATAAACCCTTGAAGAGAGTACTTTGTACCATTTTAGCAGGTGATCTGAATATGTGTTTTAGAAACCCGATATACGTTTCTGGCTTACAGATACCCACTGGATTTAGGGAGGTAGGCAAATTTTAGTATTGCCCTAGATATAGTTGTATCTTAAAGTGTTACTAAACATACAACAGTAAAATGCATCTGTATATGCAGTAAAGCATGCTTGTTATACTCACTGTGGAACCTGAGGGGTTAATCCTCTGCATTGTGTAAAAAGGCAGTTTGATCCTGTATCTTCTGCTCCTCCTCTTGTTCAAATGTCCACCTGATAAGACAGACAGAACCCGTAGCCACATGCAGATGCTCAGTTTAGTGTGTAATCCTAGAGAGGTTTTTTTCTTTTCTTGGGAGTGCATGTGATCAGCACAGGGCCAATCAGCACTGTCCAGACAGAGCTCAGGGGTTTTGCATCCTCCAAGAACAGAAAGAAAACTCCTCCTACAAGCTTTAACCAGTGTTCTGATGAAGTCACAAGACTGCTCTAACTGCTGATGAGAAAAGGTATTTAGCAGTTTCCATGTTGTGTGTACTGTGGGAGACCAGATATAGTGAAAGCTGACCATACACTCGTAGAACGAACATTCATATAAAAATTCTCAGTACACTGGGTGACTTGATGAATGTTTGAAAGTACTTCAAAGTTTTGTTTGCTTTAAGTTTTCATTTTGGAACAAATAGTCTTTACCAAATGAAAACCACATACACTTTTAGGCTTTGTTTGCAGGTGCATTCAGAGAGCACTTGACAGGCAGTTAAGATGCACAGTATTGCCTCCTTACCGCCTGTTTTAGCACCCAATATGCTGGGCTAATGCTCTGCAACCACGTACATTGCATGTTTGGTGGGTGGCAGGGTTGCCAACCTCCTGTAAAATTACAGCCAGTTTTTAAAAATCGTCCGATTTTCACGTGTCCATAAATGTCTGGGCATGGCAATGGCTGTCTGTAAAAAAAATGGCTGCAGGTCGGCTTCAGAATTGCGCATGCACCAAATGGTGCTCGGGCGGGTGATTACATTGTTTATACTCCATGAATAAATATTGTTTGAGTTTATAATAGGAGTTTCTGTCATATTTCAGGATGTAAGTAAAAAGTGTGCTACAGCAGTAAATTTTCCATGTGTTGTCAGTAATAAAAGTTGCGGAAAGTTAGCAACCCTGCGTGGGCTTTATAGTTGCATTATTGCAGTATAAAATTATCTAAGGGCACTACTGCCTCTGACTGTCAGCCATATGAGATTTGGTGATATCACTGTTCTCTTTGCTGGAGAGGAATCTGTACCTGAGGACCTGCAGCACAAGGATCGCCTTGCTTCTGCTTCAATCGTTTGTGGATCTGTGCTTTTTCCACCTCTCCTGCTGTTTATTGATCACTTATTGATCATTAGCCCACTAGTTATCAGACCACCAGTCATGAGCAGCAACTCTGACACAGACAGAGGGTACAACAAGGCATAGTTAGCCAGTAATTGTGAAAAGATCAATTACGCCCTGCTTGCCTTTCTGGGCACAGCTTCCACAGTACAGGTTCTCTTTAGTGGTTAACCCTAAAATGTAACCTTTAAACCTTAGACTTTAACATTACACCAACCTTAGAGTGCATTTCCATGTTTGCAGCCAAACTGGGATAGCACCTGCTTTATATTTGTTACATGTCTCCATTCACATAGCATAACTTAAAGCGAAGTTTCACCTAAAATGTGAGGTTCTGCTCATTCTCCTACCCTCCCCTCTCATTATAATGAACTTTTTATTTCAGGGATCATGTACCTATTTCTAACAAGTACCTACTCCCACTTCTACTCTGCACAGATGATCAGAGTGGAAATTCGCCCCCCACCCTACCCGCATCTCCAGGGACACAACAGATGGTGGGATCATTCTTAAAGCTTAGCACGTCTCACGCATGTGAAACATCAGGAAGTTACAAGCGGCTTCCCACATCAAAGATGGTGGCACTTGGGACCCAAAGACTGGCAAAAAGCCAGCCCAAGTGAGGACAATGCTGGATCCCTTTGCCGGTTGTCTCTTTATTAAGAGCCAGAAGCTACAGTATTTGTAGCTGTTTTTTTTTTTCAGAAATTACCAAAGTTCCTCTTTAAAAAAAAAAAAAACAGTAAAAACTGCTGGCTCTTGCTGCTGTCAATCAAGTGCGATGAAGAGCGTGGCTCCATAGACACACAGGTTGGGAGCAAGCACACAGCGTTTGTCCCCATAGAAAATGGCTTGCTATGGGGACACGCGAAGAAGAAGAGGAGCCAGGATCACCGGCAGGGGACCTAAGAAGTGGAGGGTTGGGACCACTCTATGCAATACCACTGCACAGAACAGGTCAGTATAACATTTTTGTTTTTTTTTAATTTAAAAAAAAAAAATTGCCTTTTGTAACACTTTAACCCTGAAGCTTAGCCATTAACTTTAACTATAAAACATAACCTAAAACTATTCTGTTAAAATTAACCTTAACCTAACCCCCAGCCTTGCCAGACCTGATAATGTCAACAACATCTGCATAAAATCCTGAGTCAAAAACTACATTGCCAAATTTCTAGTGCCAAAACCAACTTGCTCCAAGGCTAAAAAGGTTTTGTTTTCACCAACCCTGTGGAGGAGCCTCCCTGTGACAATGCCAGGTTTTAATTAAATTGGACTGCCAGATCTAGCTTTTAGATGTGTGCACTCAGTTCACCTTTAACTCACACAAAACATCATGGCACCTTGATGTCAGCGTTGGTGCAAATCAGTGAAATCTTGGGATACAGATGTACAGATTAATAGATCTCCAGCTGTAAAGAGTATACCAGAGGCTGTCCAAGGCATAGACCAGTGTTTCTCAACCTTTTTTCAGTCAAGGCACCTTTTAAAATTATGGACATTCCCATGCACCCTTTAAAATTATGGACATTCCCATGCACCCTTTAAAATTATGGACATTCTTGAAGCACCCTTTAAAATTATGGACATTCCCGAGGAAACCTTTAAAATTATGGACAGTCCCGAGGCAACCTTTAAAATCATGGACAGTCCTGAGGCACCCTTTAAAAGGGTGCTGAGGCACACTTTAAAATCATGGACACCCTTTAAAATTATGGACAGTCTTGAGGCACCTCAATATAAAATGTGAAAACTATTCTAAAAGCTTTATATAACGCAGCAACATCCACATATGTAGGACACCCAATATTAGAGGTGATTTATTCTTCCAAAGCAAATACACTTTTGCACACCAGTACTGACTTGTATTCCAGTGTTTATCTTCTCCCTCAGTTGTTCTCCATCACTGAGCTAATGTGACCCCAGCACTGATAGAGAGGCGCAAACTAGGATGCTGTGCAGACAACCGATATCCTCTTTATCAACTGATGATGTCATTGGTTGTCAGGACACTGGCAGCTAGAAGGTCATAATGGTGCACAATGAAAATCTGTGGCATTGTGTAACTAAAAAGCAGCCACTGGCTTTTATACAAGTTTTGAGCAGTTTTTAGACATCTTGCCAAGGCACCCCAAAAAAAAACCTCATGGCACCCCAGGGTGCCCGGGCACCCTGGTTGAGAAAGACTGGCATGGACAAAAAAGGCAGTTGATTAAGGTGCAACTATTGCTGCGGCTTTCAGTATAAATAAGAACAGAGGAAAACATAAGAGAAGGCATGAAGTGGACTCAACATGAAGCTTGATTTGTGCTGATAGATTTTGCATATTTGGTTAAGACAAGGGGTATGGACACTGTGAGGGTTCTAAGGGGTGCTCTCTGAATGCTGAGGGCCTGTGCAAGATAATAATTACAGTGAAGGAAATAAGTATTTGATCCCCTGCTGATTTTGAATATTTGCCCACTCACAAAGAAATGATCAGTCTAAAAATCGATTGGTAGGTGTATTGTAACACTGAGAGACAGAATAGCACCAAAAACTCAAAAGAAATGCATGTCTAACAAATTATGCACTGATTTGCATGTTCATGAGGGAAATAAGTATTTAATCCCCTATCATTCAGCAGCATTTCTGGCTACGAGGTGTCTTTCATACAGGTAACAAGCTGAGAATAGAAGCAGTCTCTTAAAGGGAGTGCTGCTAATCTCATTTTGTTATCTGTATAAAAGGCACCTGTCCACAGGAGCAATCAAACAATTAGATTCCAAACTCTCCACCATGGCAAAGACCAAAGAGCTGTCCAAGGATGTCAGGGACAAGGGATTGTAGACCTACACAAGGCTGGACTGGGCTACCAAACTATCATCAAGCAGCTTGGTGAGAAGGTGACAACAGTTGGTGCAATCATTTGCAAATGGAAGAAACACAAAACAACTGTCAGTCTCCCTAGGTCTAGTGCACCATGCAAGATCTCACCTCGTGGAGTGTCAACGATCATGAGAACAGTGAGGAATCATCCCAGAACAGGGGCGGATTGACAACTCATGGGGCCCTCGGGCAATAGGAAATCATGGGGCCCCTGTGTCCTCGCCCACGCTCAAACCACACCCAAAAATGGCTATGAAAGGTACCAGGGGCATCTCAGGGGTCCCTCTACTGACCCCAGGCCCTTGGTCAGTTGCCGAGTGCCTAAATTGTCAGTCCGCCCCTATCCCAGAACTACACGTGAGGATCTTGTAAATGATCTCCAGGCAGCTGTGACCACAGTCACCAAGAAAACAATTGGTAACACACTACGCCGACAAGGATTGAAATCCTGCAGTGCCTGCAAGATTGCTTTGCTCAAGAAAGCACATGTCCAGGCCTGTATGAAGTTTGCCACTAAACATCTGAATGATGCAGAGCAGGACTGGTTTAAAGTGTTGTGGTCAGATGAGACCAAAATCGAGCTCTTTGGCATCAACTCAACTTTGGAGGAGGAGGAATGCTGCCTATGACCCCAAGAACACCATCTCAACTGTCAAACATGGTGGTGGAAACATTCTGCTTTGGGTGCATTTTTCTGCTAAGGGGACAGGACAACTGCACCGCATCAAAGTGACAAAGGATGGGGCAATGGTCCGTCGAATCTTGGGTGAGAACCTTCTTCCGTCAGCCAGGGCATTGAAAATGGGTCGTGGATGGGTGTTCCGGCATGACAATGACCCAAAACACATGGCCAAGGCAACAAAGGAGTGGCTCAAGAAGAAGCATATTAAGGTCCTGGAGTGGCCTAGCCAGTCTCCAGACCTTAATCCAATTGAAAATCTGTGGAGGGAGCTGAAAGTTCGAGTTGCCAAACGTCAGCCTCCAAACCTTAATGACTTGGAGAGGATCTGCCAAGAGGAGTGGGACAAAATCCCTACTGAGATGTGTGCAAACCTGGTGGCCAACTACAGGAAATGTCTGACCTCTGTGATTGCCAACTAGGGATTTGCCATCAAGTATTAAGTTATGTTTTGTGAAGGGGATCAAATACTTATTTCCCTCATGAACATTCAAATCAGTGCATAATTTGTTAGCCATGCATTTCTTTTGAATTTTTTGTTGCTATTCTGTCTCTCAGTGTTACAATACACCTACCATTCAATTTTTGGACTGATCATTTCTTTCTGAGTGGGCAAACATTCAAAATCAGCAGGGGATCAAATACCTATTTCCTTCACTGTATCTGTAGGATTGTGGCCTATAATGTATGTCGAGGGACAAAGGAGCCTCCGAAGAATCCACCAAAAAAAAGAAAATAGGATTAGCAATGGGACAGCCCTTATGTTGTAGCAAGTTGGCAGTGCTTATTGCTGGATATTTTGTCTAGTGTTCTGGATAGAATAAGTATAACTTCCATTTGGTGAGGTTCCAAATGAACAAATATATGGTAAACACAACCTTCCAAGTTTGCATGTAGAGAATACCCATATCTCCTCACAGGGTATGAGAGATAGCTCCCTATTCCTTGGAAAACCCAATCCTAGGTCTACATTGGAAAAATCAGGATGGTGTGATTAATTTATTAGTGGTACAGCAAGAATCCCATAAAACACTGGTACAGCAGGGTTTGTGGTGTATTAATTAAATGTGATGCTCACCACACTAATCATGCTCAATCATTATCACCACAGCAATCCACCAGAAGTTCTCCCCCCACCCACAACCTTCTGGGACACTTCACAGGTCCCAGAATGCTGCAGGACCATTCACAAAACGCAGTGTGGCACCCGCATGTGCAGTAGACAGCCAGCTGTAAAGCTGCAAGGAATCATATCCGGCTGCCCACAGTAAACATGCCAGCACCAGGGAATCGAAGACCAGCAAAAAAGTGGTTAGGGTGAGAACTGTGCTGGACCCCTGGACAGGTGAGTGTCCTTTTTCTCATAGTATTTGTAGCTGCTGACATTTAATTTTTCTCTAAAGGCTGAAGAACCACTTTAAGAGCCACAATGACACAGAGACTGTGTGCATTTTGCCATGTATTTTTAGTATTTGTATTATGATAAACATCTCACCTTTCTGTCCTGTCCTTGGCTTTCATTATCAAAACCTTTTTTGTGCTGCATTTGCCGTAAAACTTCTTGGAACATAAGTGAAAGAGGACACTGAAGAAATACCCTCTTGCCGGTCATCCCCTCTACAATCCACCTCTCCAAAGAAAAACAGAAATCAGAAATCATCAAAAGTGAGAGAGGATCAAGTCTTTCTCTGGTCCTTAGAATATGACTTAAGGTAAATGTCACCTTTATCAGCTTCAAGCCCTAAAATTTCTAACCCTAACTATAATCCTAAAGCTGAGAATGCATGTACAGTTTTTTTTTTCATTGAACGAATGGGATGAACAAAAAAAAATGACAGATCCCCGCATCAACACAAGCAATATTGATTCAAAGATTTCTCTTATTGTGATAGGGGGACATCCCCCACAGTCCGAATACTCAGATCAGTGCTTGCAGACATTGGTTGAATTACTGAATTCTGACTTTCCAGCAGGAGCTTTCAATAGAAGCTGGTCATTAGAGTAGCACATGCACTGAAATTCCACCAGTTCCTGCTTAACCTACATTATAATCCCAAACCTAACTCTAATCCTAACCCTAACCTTAGTTTTATCCACTTTGCCTCTTACACCTGTTCACCCCCTATAGACCCTCAATTTTTACCTTTCTGCTATGGACTTGTTTATTCAGCAATAACTTTGTCATTACTAAAAACAGCAAGCTAATATATGTATTGTTTTTTGGTGTTTTTTTTAGGACAAACAAGGCTTTCTTTCCATGATAGTGTGTTGTGACACATTAACCACTTCCTGTCCGGACACTTTTACCCCCTTCCTGTCCAGGGCAATTTTCAGCTTTCAGCGCTATCACACTTTGAATGACAATTGCGCGGTCATGCAATACTGTACCCATATGAATTTTTTACCATTTTTTTGAGACAGATAAAGCTTTATTTTGGTGGTATTTATTCTCCGCTCGGATTTTAATTTTTTTTGCTATGTAAATGAAAAACGTCCAAAAAAATTTTGAAAAAAAGTGTTTTTTTAATAAAATTTTGCAAATAAATAATATTTCATCATAAGTCTTGGCCAAAATGTATTCCGTTATTTTTTTTAGTAAAAAAAAAGAAATCCAAATTAGTTTATAACCAAAAATTATATTTTTTAAACATTTAATTTTACATTTTTATTTTATTTTTTTTATTATATTATTATTTTTTATTTTTATTTTTTATTTTTACATACTGTCACCCTAGCAGTACAGTGTCACCATGGTGACACTGTACTACTTGTGGGGGGGGATGAAGATTTTTTTTTTTTTTTTTTTTTTACACTGATTGCTTTTACACCCATATAGGATGGAAAAGCAATCATTTCTCTTTCTCTCTGTCTGCATTCTTGCGCTCATTGAGAAGTACTGAGTGAGCTGTGATTGGTCACAGCTTGTCACATGGTACAAGCCTGTTTTGTGAATAGCCTTGTACCATGTGACCTCTGTGATCATTCACAGATTTCACACGTAGTAAGCAATGATGTCACAAGTGACATCTTGCTTACTACTTTGCATGTGATCACTGATTGGCCAATCAGTGATCACATGATCGGGACCCTCGTACAGAGGAAAGGCGGTACCGTTTATGAACG